AATACAAAATCTCTATTTTTTGATCAATAAAATTGCATTATTTGTGTTTTTCTTTTTCTTTTTTTAATCAATAATTATATATCATTCAATTTAAAATTAACAATTTAAATTACTTTTTTTAGTACAATACTACGAAGTTGCCGTAAATTTATTAATAGTCCCTTAACCTCTCCCACATAACCTCAAACCCACCCCCAGCAAAACAAATAATAAATAAAGTAAAAACTAAATTCCAACAGCACTCCATGAACTGATACACTGCACACCCACAGCCACTTGGTGTGGGGAGAAGATTGTTGGTGTTTTACCGACGAGGGGAGCGTAGTCCTCAAGTTGTGCACCTTAATGTAGTGTATTAATCGAGCCGAATTTTATAAGTTTGAGTTTAAGTTTAACGAGTTTGTATTTTTAAATGAGCCTAAAAAATTGTTCAAACTCGATTTGTTTAAAATTCAAGTCGAGCCTGAGCCCGAATAACTCGACTATTTTACATATAAATGAACTGAGATTCACGAATTTGAGTCAAGTTTTTTAGGCTTGTTTTCTAAACGAGTTCAAAAAATTGTTAAAACTCAATTCGTTTAAAACACGAATCGACTTTGAGCCGAGTTTTATCTAAGTCGAACATAACTAGTTTGTCTCAATTAACACCCTACCTTAAGGTGCGATGTTCAAAATCTCTCTCTCCCTTGTATTATTATAATAAAAAAAATAGAGGGAGAGGGGGAGGTTGAGAGGGATGTGGTTATTGTTTATACTTTTTATTTTTATTTTGAGTGTTTATCAACTTTGGGATAAATCAATTAATTTGTTTAATCTCCCAATTAATTTTTTTTGATTGAGTTGTTCTATGTCACCATTGAAATGTGATGGATAATCGTGTAGTTAAAGTAAGATGACAACGTAATTTTTTCTTCAAAAAACCAGAAAGGGTTTTCAAATAACAAAAAAGCGATTTTACCAAAACCAAAGATCGACGAAGAAAAATGGAGGGAAAAAAACCAACCAATTCGTTGTTTTTCAGTCTTATTGTGGCCACACTTTGGATTCTTAAGATCTTGTTCCAAATGTCCAACCTATCGCAATCAGTGAATCAACAACCAAAATCTAATACGGCAGATTGGAATAAATTTCGTTAACTACCTTGTTCTTCGGTTAAAAGTGTCCAACTACTTTGCTCATAAAATTATAATTCATGACCACCCTTGTCTACCTAACTAGTTGTCAATGAAAAAAAAAACTTCATTAAACACCAAACATATAGATATAATTGAAGGATTAATGCTCAAAACATGATCAAATGAAATCGATTAACATAGTAATTTGAGAAAAATATTAATTGGACATAATATAGAGACTGTTGAATTGAAAGTAGATTATATCCAACCTCCAAACTCACAACTAACCTAATAATTTTAATAGCTTAATTCTCGATTAAGTCTATGAAGGATTGCTCGTAATAAAAAAAAATGTTTTATTACTTTCAAGAATATCAAAGCAATTGCAAAAAAAAAAAAAAAAGCAATCTTTTAGAACATATCATTTGAATTACTAAAGCAATTCCCAAAGTTTACATTTTAATATAAATAGAAAGGCCAAGTAGTTTGAAATTACTCAAAGACCAATAAAATTAAGAGCTATACAAAATAAATAGAAAAGGGCATAAAAATTGGCCTAGATGGTAATTTTGACTCGTCAAGACTTTTCCAAAGTAGGGTTTTTTGATAAAATTTATAACACTAATTCTCTAATTTCACGTCAGATTTACAAATTATGCCTAGATTTAACAAACCTAACCAGTTCAATTCAATAATTTAAATTGGGAGTAACTCACATTGTTAAATCAAGGTTGAGGGTACTATTATTTTTTTTGATGAGTAAGGGTAATATTGTAAAATGAACATAATTTTTTTCATTTTTATTCTGCATCTATTCACACTTGTTAATCTTAAAGTACTCCCAAAATTGATGTTGACCAAACAACTAGCAATTTTTAAAAGTCCATCTTAAAAAATCTATATTATAAAATCCAATTTTTGAAATAAACTTTTTTTTTTCTCAAAAATTACGTCAAACACAACCTAAATATCTCGATTTACACAGCTACCATTGCCTATTCTGATTTCCGACGATAATGGATAGTCATATTATCCTCAGTCACGCCTGCTATGAAGGTCAATACTCAATAGTGTTCCGCCATTTGAAAGGAACAACTCCAAGTGCACGAAACGTTTGGATCAAAGGGGATGGACAAAATGTACATGTAAAAAGGACTAGTGGGCAAGACGGTTCCGTATCAAAAATTAAAATTTTTTAAAATTATGTTAAAATTTTTTTGAAATATAAATTACAATTTTAAGAGACGTAATTGATCATAGAAGGTTAAGATTAATATCGAGAATTGATGATTAATTATGATTTTCTCATAAGTAGTTATAATTTTTTCTTTCAAAATTATATTTTTATCATAAAAAATAATAATTGATAATATTAGTACCGAATTATTTTTTTTTGGGTACTATAAAGTTTTTCATATAGAGATTGAATCGATCCGTGGAAGTGAGTGGAGGAAGAATCAAAAAAGAGAAAGGAAATTTCTTATAATAGTTGCGGGTTCATTAATTCATTAGACCACTTTTTATATCTTTGACCCTCTTGACACTTAAACCTTTAAAGAGGGTTGAAAAATGCCTAACAAAGAATTTCGGATCTCACAAAAAAATGGGCAGAGGATTTGATCGAAAAATCCTCATACACCAAAGAAAACATATTCCAGAAAATTCGGGTCCGGGTGCACCGTTACACCCAATATTTTCTCCTTAACCAGATTGCTGGATGTGGTTTATATCGCCCCCGGATTTGATAGGAATTACTGGACCTTCCTTGTGTTGCCGGTTCTGGAACTGCCTTGTGTCACCGAAGATATGCTCTCTGTGAGACAGGGAGACAAAGAGAGATAAGCGGCAGCCTTGTGCCGCCGGAGACGTGGGAGTTAAGCGGAAGAACAGGGGCAACTTCAAAAGCTAATCTTGGCCATCGGATGAGATAAATTGATAAATCTGATTGCCAAACGTAAAAATTATTTTTTATGGATATTTGAAATAATTTATATTTTATTATATAAATATTTTGAGAATTTAAAATTATTTATACTTTATTATATTGATGTCAAAATTTAGATATTATATACTGAAATTAAGCTACAAATTCAAATAGAATCAACTAAATCAAACTTGACTAAGCTATTCAGATAGAAATCAGTACGAATTTTAATATAGAATTTCTGCTAATAATACCCATCATACACACACACACAAAAATCCATTACATTTTTAGACTAGAGTTTATAAATCAAATTCGAATATAATTCAATTTAGGATTTTTCGTATTTTATATCATGAAGGATTTTAAATTTTTTATTTATATTTTCAAAGATTAAATTTTTTGTATTCTACTTTCAATCTATTAAAAATATTATAATATAACACTTATGTTTTTTTTTTTCCATTAAAAGTCAATTCATTGACAATGATTAAAAAAATTAACGAAAAACTAATGAAATGATCATATTATAATAGTTTTGATATATTAAAGATGCAATGTAAAAAATTTAATTTTTGAGAATATAAAATTTTACTTTAAGATTTTTCAAGGTATAAAATATAATTCACCCGTCAATTTAAGTTTCAAAGAATCTGATCCCTTCATATGCCTATATTTACGAGAGAATGTTGAATGCAATAATGATATCATATCAATAATATTGACGTGGTATTACCGAATAATAATAAAACATTAAGTGAGTAAGATGAATATCACTTAAGTAGTTATTTACTTACATGAAAAATTGATTATTAATTTTTGTGGGATCTATTTGTTCATTTATTTTGATACTATTAATTAGTGATTTTATGTTAGCATTGCAACATAGTATCGCTGTTATAATGAATATATTTTCCTATATTTACATGCAAACATAGTCACATTTGAAAAAAAAAATAGGGTGTAACGGTGCAATCGTGTCATCATTATCACTTAATGTTATATCTATTAATAAATTTACAAATAAGTAAGTGAATCCTACATATTTTAGTAATGGCTCCGTCAGGTCGTTTCAAGTAAGATGTTTATTATTAAATGGTGACCCAAAGTATTAATAATAACGTGGTAACCCAAGTATTTACTATAAATGGCCCCCCGCGGGGAGTGGGGGGCGGGGGTGGTGGTGGTGGTTGGTTTAGATTTAGTGTTTTTGCTGGGTTTTGGTTGAGTAGATTTCAATTTCTATCTTCAAACAGAGGCATAAAAACCTCACCAACTTCACCCCCAACCCGAAGAAAAAGAAAAAAGGAAAGTTCAAATTTTCTTTTGCCCTTCAAAATCATCATTTACAGAAACTAAGCATGAGTATTGACTAAAATCAAAGTTGAAAAGAAGAAGAAGAAGGAGAAAATAAAAAGAAATCAAACGAAATTAGTCATTGAATTCTAGAAGCACAACAACTAAACACAGCCATGAAAGCATAAGCATCCTCTGACTCTCTGCTGATTCAAACCTCCCTGCCGGTTTGCATAAGCAAAGCAAGATGGTCAACTTGGGCGGCTCTCTCTGTCTCTCTCTGCCCCTTAGCTTACAACTCCATCAATCTCTCTCATCTTCTTTTCCTCTCCATTAGAACAATACAACTAGCAACAAGACATCAACAACTAAACAAACCCATCAAATTAAAATAATCAACAAGTTTGATATAAAAACTCCACAAGGAATAGAAAATTCTGGCATACGTGCATCTGTTCTACGTTTGGTTTGGTCCGTCTGCAGGCCCTCTAAATTCAACCACATTCTCTCTCATTCAACACCCACCAACTGTTTCCTGTTTCTAAATTCACATTTTGTCACCTTTTCTCATTCGTTTCCACCATGAAATCACAAAAGCTCCTCTAATTACTCTGGTAGAAGAAGAAGAAGTAGAAAAAAAAAGAGATTGGGTTACATAGATCATGTCAGACGGTGAAACGGGTCATTCAAATCGAGTTGCATTACTCGTTTTCTTGATTCTGATCGCAGGTACTGATCAATTTCTATACTTCTGGTTCTTTCTGGGTTATGATCACAAAATGTTTGTACTTGGATTATGCAGAATTGTCTTAGCTTCCATATTGTATAGTAATTAGAAGTCTAATCATTTATTTTCTTGCTATAGTTAATGTTTCATATATTCATGCGAGTAAAAAATGGGTTTTATTAGTCTAGTTGAATATGTTTTGAGTTTTTCGAGGATGATTGTCCCCAGTTTTGTACATATGTTTGAGTTTTTTGAGAATGATTGTCCTAAGTTGACTTCAATCTGCTGTGAAAAACAGGAAGCGTGGTTGCTGGAGATTCAGTACTAGAGACTGATAAGCAAGTACTGCTCGAACTGAAATCATTTCTCGAAGAACAAAATCTTATAAATCGTGGAAATTACTCAGAATGGAATCCACAGGACTCAACTCCATGCGCATGGCCTGGAATTTCCTGCGATGTCAATGGCACCCGTGTCACCAGAATAGACCTTTCCGACAATGATATAGCTGGAGATATATTCGGAAACTTCTCTGGCTTGACCGCACTCACCTACCTTGATCTCTCCAAAAACACGCTTGGGGGGGCTATTCCAGGCGATTTAGGCCAGTGCCAGAACCTGAAGTTTTTGAACTTGTCACACAACATCATTGATGGCGAGCTCAACTTGACTGGATTCAACAGCTTGGAAGTTCTTGACCTATCCCTCAATAGGATTGGTGGCGAAATTCAGTCAACTTTACCGGAAATTTGCAACAGTTTGGTGGTTGCAAATCTTTCCACCAATAATTTCACTGGTGTGATTGGAAATTCCTTTGATCATTGCAGGAATTTGCAGTATCTCGATCTCAGCTCAAACAACTTGAGTGGAGATTTATGGTTTGGCTTTGGAAGGCTAAAAGAGTTCTCTGTTTCTGAGAACAAGTTAGATGGGAATGTCTCTGCAGGGATTTTCACTTCGAATTGCAGTTTGCAAAGTCTGGACCTGTCGGGAAATTCTTTCTTTGGAGAATTTCCAAAGGAGATTTCAAATTGTAAGCAACTGGTGGAGTTGAATTTGTGGGGAAACAATTTTACGGGGCCAATTCCAAAAGACATCGGATCAATTTTGAGTCTCCAAGAACTTCTCTTAGGTAGCAACAAATTTTCAAGTAAAATACCCGAGTCCCTGCTGGGTTTGAGCAACTTGACCATTTTGGATCTAAGCAACAACAATTTTGGAGGAGATATACAAGAAATTTTTGGGCAATTTACGCAGGTGAAATTTCTTTTATTGCATTCCAATTCGTATACCGGGGGGTTGCATTCATCTGGAATTCTAAAGTTACCCAACATTTATCGGCTGGACTTGAGTTACAACCAATTCTCTGGTCCGCTACCAGCTGAAATTTCCCAGATGGTGAGCTTGAAGTTTTTGGTTCTTGCCCACAATCAATTTGCAGGAATATACCTTCAGATTATGGAAATTTGCATGGACTCCAAGCCCTTGATCTCTCCTACAACAAGCTAAACGGGTCGATACCATCCAGTTTTGGAAATTTAAACTCCCTTCTGTGGTTGATGCTTGCAAACAATTCGTTGACTGGCGAAATCCCTCCAGAGCTGGGGAATTGTAGTAGCTTGTTGTGGTTAAATCTTGAAAACAACCTACTTTCCGGGCCAATTCCACCTACGTTGACAAACATTGGCGTGAACGCAACACAAACGTTCCTCTTCAATCGGAATAATGAGATGACTGCCGGTTCAGGGGAGTGCTTGACAATGAAGAGGTGGATACCTGCTGATTACCCTCCTTTTAGTTTTGTGTATACAATCCTTACAAGGAAGAGTTGTAAAAGCCTATGGGACCGGTTACTCAAAGGCTATGGCCTATTTCCGGTGTGTATCCCCGGCACAAATATTCGAACGTTTCAGGTGTCAGGTTATGTTCAACTTTGCAGTAATCAGATGTCAGGTGAGGTCCCTCCTGACATTGGAAAGATGAAGAATTTCAGCATGCTCACTTGGGTATCAATGGCTTCAATGGTACACTTCCGCCGGGAATTGAACTAATGCCACTTGTAGTCCTAAACCTTACCCACAACAAGTTTTCTGGTGAATTGCCAATGGGAATTGGCACCATAAAGTGTTTGCAAAACCTCGATTTGTCATATAACAATTTTTCTGGTGCATTCCCTACTAGCTTGAATAACTTGGGTGATCTGAACAAGTTCAACATTTCTTACAATCCGTATGTCTCTGGCGTAATACCATCAACAGGGCAGCTGTCCACATTTGAAAAATGGTCATTCCTTGGTGATCCACTATTGCGCCTTCCATCTTTCATAGACAACACCACAGGTAATCAGCCGGCAAACAAGAAAGAGAAATCAGACAAGCCCCCAAAACTCGGTGCATTTTTGGTTTTCTTTGCTCTATTACTTGCTTTCTTGGTATGTGGAGCCATGACACTCGTAGTCTGCCTTGTGATGAAAAGCCCCGTAGAGATACCAGGATATCTCTTGGAGGAAACAAAGGGCCTGAAAGACTTTGCGTCAAGCTCAGGTGCATCCTCACCATGGTTGTCAGACACCATTAAAGTCATCCGATTGGACAAAACAGCATTCACACATGCTGACATCTTGAATGCTACAGGGAACTTTTTGGAAGATAGAATTATCGGGAGGGGAGGATCTGGAACAGTATATCGAGGGTTATTGCCTGATGGGAGAGAAGTAGCAGTGAAGAAGCTGCAAAGAGAGGGTGTAGAGGGGGAAAGAGAGTTTCGAGCTGAAATGGAAGTTCTAAGTGGCAATGGCTTTGGTTGGCCACATCCAAACCTTGTAACACTCTACGGATGGTGCCTTGATGGGTCAGAGAAATTGTTGGTTTACGAGTACATGGAAGGGGGGAGCTTAGAGGATTTGGTTTCAGATCGAACACGACTCACATGGAGGAGGCGTATTGATGTAGCAGTAGATGTAGCCCGTGCCTTGGTCTTCTTACACCATGAATGCTTCCCTGCTATTGTGCATAGAGATGTCAAGGCTAGCAATGTCCTTCTTGATAAGAGCGGGAAGGCACGTGTTACAGATTTTGGTCTTGCTAGAGTTGTTGATGCTGGAGGTAGTCACGTGAGCACAATGGTTGCTGGAACAGTTGGTTATGTTGCTCCAGAATATGGACAGACATGGCAAGCCACTACAAAAGGTGATGTGTACAGCTATGGGGTGCTAGCCATGGAGCTAGCAACTGGGAGGCGAGCTGTAGATGGAGGAGAGGAGTGTCTAGTTGAATGGGCCAGAAGGGTCATAGGAGATGGACGATATGGATATAATCGAGCCATAATACCTGTGGCACTTTTGGTTTCTGGGCTAGCAGAGGGGGCAGAGCAGATGTGTGAATTACTTCGGATTGGAATAAGGTGTACAGCAGAGGCACCCCAGAGTAGACCAAACATGAAGGAGGTGCTGGATTTGTTGATTCGGATTTCTGGAAGGCAAAGGGTTTCGGGTTACAGCTCTTCTCCTCCCTCATCATAATGGAGGTCTGGAATCAGGAATGAAGAAGTGTCCATATAAATATTTCATAAAGTCTACTTTAGCACACACACTTAGACATCTTTCTGTGATTCTTCTTGTAAACAGCCATTTTACATTCATTATATTGAAGTTCTCAATTTTGGTCACCATTGTATAGGAACACTCTTCCGCACTTCTAACTTTTCAATCAAGCATAAGATTTATTATTTCAGTTGAAAAACTACGAACAATCTCTCAATCGAAGTGATGCCAAAATGAGAGACATTTACAGGTCGAACAAGATGTGTATCTGTTGCAGTCATTTGCTCAAAAACCTTTGTTGATATTCTGTCATTCCTCTGTGATTCTATTCCAGTGTTCAGGAACGATCCCTCTCAAAACTTCATAAGCATCATTATTCTGCTGCCAAGACTACGAGTTCTAACCTTCGGAAACTGTGCATCCTGATGTCAATGGTTGTAGTCATCCCCTATATAAGGAATTCCAACTATGAGAGCTAAAACTCAGCAGAGTAGGGGCTTCATTTTTTTTTTTTTTTTTGAATTTAAGCACTTTCACAGTCCTTCCAAATCTTTTCTTTACTGCCTCAGTAGTCTTTTTCCTATACTGCTTCTACTGCAGATTTGAGTTTTTTTTTCGAAAATCCATCATCCATTGATAAGTTTTTTTGCTATCTTGCTAAGAAAAAGTAGAATTTCTCCTGTTTTATTCCCGAAAAAAGAAGGGTTTTGTCATTTGTGCATTGTTTGTCCAAGTCATACTACCTGGTTTGTTCTTAAGTGCCCGTTATCTTCAAATAATTGATTTGACTTACAGAGGTGTTGTGCACTTTAAGTTTGAAGGGAATATAGCTGAAAGAGAATGATTGAGGGGAGGAGGGTGAATGTTATGCCGTTGGAGCTCACAATTCAGAGAGAATATTCAGTGTGACAGTGATACGACATTAGAAACTGCCGTGTTGTATCAATTATATTATAATGACTTTTGGGAAAACTTTTTGCCTTTACGGGTGAGTATTCATCCTTATAAATGATACTGTTTGAAAGTTGATTTTGTAATTTTGTCAATAATTGTAAATGTAGTGTCTTAAGTTTGAATGATCAAGATCACGAAAAACTAGTTCTAATTTTATGTATCTCATGGTTTGATAGTACTTCATTTTAAGACGATAAAAGTGGTGGCTCCTCTGTTTTATCTTCCGTTTAAAGACTATCAATTAGTGAAACTCGATTGGAATTGCTAAAATCACTTCGTTGTCCTGATCTTTCTTTCTTCTTCCTAGACATAGTTGGGACTTGGAACAATTTATACCGTTACAATAGAAGTTCAAAATCTTTATTTGTGTTTTTGATTGGCTTCAATGACCAACTGATGGTGAAGGTTTGATACAATATTTGCCAAACTTGAATTTTTTTCACATACTCTAAAAAGTTTTTAACATATGCAATCAAGTTTGTTCTTTGGCCACACTACGGCATGGTAATTTGCTTGGAACTGCATTATAAGATATAGGGCTTTTCACGCTTTGCACCTCGAAAGATGTTAAAATTCTCACTTTATATCTTAAAAGATTATTTTTTTTTCATATTGTACCCTCATTGTTCTAAATTTGTTTCAATATGGCCCCTTAGACTAACTCTCGTCTCTCTTCCCATTAAATGGTAAAACATGTGTATATGTGCAACGAGATTTATCAGAAAGAGAGAAATCGGTTGATTTTGAAGGGCAATATTGCAATCGATTTTGAATGAGGGTGTAATATAAAAAAATATAATTTTTTAATGTGTAAAGGGAGAATTTTAATATCTTTCGAGATACAAAATATGAAAAATCTTAAAATATATGGCAGCCATGAGAAATCATTACCCTTCCAAGGAGCTTTTTCCTAAACCCAGCCCCTCAAATCTTAGTTCCAAAATTCAGTCAGTTTTGAACTTGTTTTATAAAATCAGTTTTTTTTTTTAAAATGTTATTTGAAATGACGTTTCAAAATGTTAAAACGTCAATTGAAATGACGATTTAAAGTTAAAATTTTTTTCTTAAAATTTTCATTTTTAATGACATTTTTAAAGTTGTCATTTATAATGACGCTTTTAAACATATATTTTTAAACGGCCGTTAACAAAAGTTAAAAAAAATAAAGGGGTTCAAAACATCATTTATAATGATGTTTTTAAAAACGTTTCTGCCCCCTTTATAAACAATGACGTTTTTTACCCTTTTATTTACAATGAAGTTTTAAAATCGTCTTCTTAGCCTTTTACAATGACTTTTTCTTAGCCAAAAGTCTCTAATCTACTTGTAATAAATTTCATAAAAGTTAATTACTCCACCTAATTTCTCACATCATAATTCACCAAACAAAAAAAAATTAAAATTTAATTCTATTTTCATTATAATTTTAAACTTATTTTATAATCGAAAATAAAATTCATAAAAACATAATTTAAAGAGAAAATGATCCAAGTTCTCTAACTAAATTCCCCAGCCAATTCCAGTACATATTAAACTCAACTATTAAAATTTCAAAAGCATTTTAGCTTTGAACAAGCCATCATGAATTTGATTCATTTCACCTACTAATTAAGTAGTTATTCTTCAATAGCAATGCTTCCCCACAACATCACAAACAGAGGAGACTTGAAGCTTTATCTATGATGATCATATACCTCAAAAAAAAAAAAAGCAACAATACCACTCATTTCTTGTACATTTTGAAGCCGCGATAAATAGAACTCAATTTTTCATTATTTATCTTTATATAAGTGTACCCCAAGCCAAAGAACAACAAGCACTAATAACAGCTTCCATGCAAAACAGATATACATCATCATACAGGTTGTATGTACAAAACCCTTTTCCATTCATCTTTTTCTTTCAAACTATTCACAAAACATATTGTAGCCAAACCACTCTCTAACCCTTTTCTACTTTCATCCTCCTCTTTTTCTTCACTGTATTGTATGTTAGGTGTGTTGCCTGTATGGCATGTTGGCATGTTGTTCAAGGATTATTTTCTGCAAATATATCCAATAGAGAGAGCCTGCAAAATCCAAAACCAGACCAATATTTTAGCAGACTGTGCATTATAAAGTGTTATAAAGTGCTTTAAGCAAAAAGCTTGTTAAGGAAATGTTGAGTAATTACCTCTAAAATGTTTGGCTCAAGTTGAAACTTAGGGCCATCGTAGTGATGAAGAATAGGCCTAAAGGAGTCCTCTTCTAATGGCTCTCAAACTAGCCTAACCATAACTCACACCTGTCCACAGACAGAAGACTTGTAAATCATAAACCCGAAAACAGTATATGTTGCAACCTTGCTGTGCTTTTATGCCAAATCCTTGCCAATAAATAGCAGTGTAAACTAGATATCTAACATTGTTTCTGATCAAATCTAAAAGAGATCCGAACATCAACCTCTATTGTTTGACCATTAACTCAGATGCATAAGAAGCGAGAACTCAATGAAGACACACCTGAGATTCCTAATGTCCTCCATTAGAAATTTCTAATGACCTTGCTCATCACAAGATGTATATGCAAGGAGTGGATAAGAAGGGGCGCCCCATAGTAGTTTACTTTGGAAGCCAGAATTAAGCAGACCAGACTGGAGGAGTTCAAGTGTATGTGGTTACTCTGAAACTGTACATGAGTGGTCTGCATAGATGGAGGCCCTGATTTATACTCTTCTCTTGGGGGAGGGAGGAGCAGCATGTGAATGGGAGCATTATTAGGAGTGCATGATGTAATGAAAGAAAATATAGGAGTGCAACGTGTTGAAAATATTTTGTCGAGTTATACATTATGAGAAAATAGGTGAAAATTAATTTTAAATGATGTAATGAAAGAAACGAAGAAATGAATAATTGTTATTTGGTACAGTGGGATCAATTTTTTTAAGGCTCAAATCTTATGTTTTATCGCGTTTTTAGGTACGAGTTATGACTAGTATAGTTACAAAAAAGCATATCTGGTCAGTCTAATAGTATCATGATATCATATTTTCTTTCCAAATAGAATAGATTGAGGGGGAACAAGATGAGTTTGCCAATCAGTTTCCACAAGCCTTTACCCCTTATATTGGCAAGAAAGCGTTGGATAAGATGGGCCAATCTAAGCTAGGTCATTGAACATTGTGCTTGTTCTCAATGGACAACCAGATTCGATTACTGTAAGAGCATGTAAAGAAGAGATGGTTATGATATTTAGTCACGTCCCTGCAAAACACACAGAAGGGAAGGCTCTTGGGAGAATCCTGTAATGTATTAGGCTGATGGATCCTGTAATGAATTAGGCTGGAGAATCTTGTAATAAATTAGGCTGGTATTGCATTAGGCTGATGGATCACCCTGTAATGAACTGTTGAAGTTCGACAGTGGTTTCAATCACATGTGGAGCCTCACCCTTGCGTCTTTCTTTTTCAATGATATAAGTGGTTGAATGAATTTTATTTTTCTATTCTCATCTATAGCATGTACTAGTTTGGAATTGCAATTTTAATTTTTGGTTATTCTTGCAGCCTGTGCTTGCTGTTATGTACTTAGTACAGTACATGCCGGTTATAGGATATTGGCTCATGGACAAGGTAACCATCTAATACCTCTTAAGGCAGTCATCAATGGAACATTTATGTATGCCACCATGCGAATTAGGGTGCCATCTCAATTCCTTATAATTGCCCCTAAATGGGATGGCAACAAACTAAATATGACTCTGTACAACTATCATTAGCCTTGGTGTGTGGACAAATGGCATCTTAGTTACTTATGTCTACCAACTAATTATATATGAATTTGTGCACAACTACCAGAATGTTTGAACTTTTTCGCTGCGTTTACCTCTAATTTCCTTTTTTTTTGATGTGAATGGCTCTAGATTGGGGGGAAACCAGTGGAAGCAGTTGCACAGTAGGGCACCACATACTCATTGAGATTATTGTTTGGGAAAAAGAAAGTACAGTGAATTTTTGGTGATGATTGAAAAAATAACCAAAACGTTGAAAAATATCAGTGAGTGATGCTGGCTCTATAGGATTGTGGTGCCTTACCCCACCATAGGGAGAGACACAAGAAGTTCCAATTTGAAAACATCATCAGAATTAGTACATTTGTTGATATGGCTTGTTAATAAATGAAAGGTTGTTTATATATACGAGTGAAATGTTAGATATTTGATCAATATATTTTAACACATAGAGGGTGAAAAATACTGGAAGAAATGGAGAGAGCACCACTAGAGAAATTTGATTGCCGGAGTGTTCCTCTTCGTTAGATAAGGCTTCTTCGTCAGATTGGTCTTCAACGGACTGGGCTTCCTCGTCGGAGAAGAGTTTGGCTTAGTGGTTGGAAAAAGATGCAAAATCGATGCTCCTCGTCGGAGAAAATAGGGGGCTGCGATTGGATGACGAAAAAGGAGGACAGGGGATTTTAGAGAGGGATCTAAGCAAGAGAAAGGGGATCTAATCTGAGAGAGATGATCTGATCAAGAAAGAGGGGATCTGTTATAGAGAGTGATCTGAGAGAGAGAGAGATGCGATAGAGTTAAAAATTTTGAGATGTACATTATTTGTCATTTTATTAAGTTCTTAAAAACCTCATTCCTAATGATGTTTTAGGAAAAGAAATTTTGACTTCAAATTTTCATTTTAAATGACGTTTTCAAAAAAAATTGTGTTTGAGAAATAAGTTAAAAATTAACTAGATTGAAGAATTAAGATTTGAAGGGACTGAGTTTGGGAAAAACCTCCCGTTCAAGCATAGCCATACCAAAAAATTATAATTTGAACTCAATATAAGTGTAAACTAATTGAAAAATCTTATCCAAGATTTTTTGTAGGATTCAACAAGTTTCATTGAACAAAGTAAAGCCGACCTAATAAGAAAACGAGTTTTACGCTCAATTATATCCTTTCATGGTACATTGTTGTCTAAATTTTATTCTTTTGTCAATTTTAATCTTTTTTTTTTTAGAGAGAGGAAGAGGAAAAAAGAGATCATGAACCTTTAACCTCAAGAAGACAAAACTTTTACGAGATAAATAATACTATATGACCAAAGACCCTCAGTTTTATCAATTTTAATCAAACTCCGTTCTATCCAACAAAGTCTATCCGAACTATCAAATTGAGCCGTTCATTTTTTTTTCTGGGTCATTGAGCCGTTCATAGTTAATTTTTGTAAGTGAGATCAAATCAATGAGCGGTGGGAGATTGAATTGATAAAATTTGAAAGGCAGAGAATCCGACCTCACTCTCTCACCACCAGCATGCTTGTACGGATTTGCTTGTCCTCTACGGTTTCTCCGCTTTAGGGAAAAAGTGGGGCCCACTTTTTGGTTATATGCTCAAATGACGATACTGCCCCTACGCTTATGTTTCGATGACCAAACACTTCCTGTTATTACCCGCGAAAATATCATGCTCTGATAATGAATATTTTCTCCTGTTGTTGGCTCTTGCCCTCTCAGCTGTCATTTACCAACCAGCACTCTCTCTCTCTCTCTCTCTCTCTCTCTAAAAAATACATACTAAAACCCCATTTTCATTCAAAGCAGCAGTTCTCACTCTCGCATCCCTTTCATTTTCAACGCTGTAAGTATCTTCAAACTCTTTGATCTTTTTGTTCATGAAAGTATATGTTACCATATTTGCATATAATCAAGTTGGTCACTTTGAGATGCTTGCCCAGTAGAGAAGGAACGAAATATATGTGTATATATATGTGTGCGTGTGTGTGTGTGTGTGTGTGTTTACATATTGGATAGCTGATTGGTTGTGCTTGTTCTGATGGATTTGTTTGTTTTGTGTTTCTGATGACTAATTTCTTTCTGTTTCCTTTTTTGGTCAGTGAACATTTTTATTGCCACTATTATCCTCTAGTACCATGAAATTGGAAATGCAATTGCTATGAATCTAACACCTTCCCATGTTCTATTCTCTCTTTTTGATGTGAATCGATTATCATTCGCTAATGCGGGGATAGTTGATTCATAGCAAGTCTTGAGAAGTTACACATTTTTTATCAAGCATTTAAGGTGTTCATTGCCTTCTACCTATTAAAATCGTAGTGAAACATGATTTCATTGCAGTTTGTATTACTTCGGAGACATTGTTTGTCATAGCAATCCAAATATGCCTAGTCATTTCATGTTTTCTTGGGAGTCAATACTAGTATGTGTACATAAATGAGTGTAGATGCACAAAAGGCTGTAGTTGCCTCTTTTCTTGAGCGTAACAGTTCTCTACAAATTAATCTGTTATTCCAACTTGATTGGAAATTATCGAATGGTGTACTCTGCATAGGCTGCTCTTTTTATTCTTATATAATGTGTAATGATTTTCAACGAACAGATTGGTAACTGATTTACTACATTTTTTCCTCAAAATTTTATTACTCTTGGATCATTGCTTGTGTAGGTAGTCACCAAGTATTAATCCTTAGTGCAGCCATCAACCTCAGCAACCAGAATCTTTATTTATTTTTTTGTGAGTTGGAGCACGTTCAGAGTCCACTATTTTATTTACTAAAGGGTGAGAATATAAAGCCTCAACTGGGGAAGAGACAAATTAACGTGTCTCGTGTAAATCAAAATAAACTGTTCAAGATTCAAGGAAGACCTTCTAAACATGATGCAGCACTGAATTTGTATAGATATATTTCTTGCTGAGTTCCTATGTTGGTGACATCTGAATAGTTTTTTCTCAAATATTGTTGGAAATGCGGATATGATTTTTTAAAAAATCCATCCTGCTTTGAGCATTGTTGGTGTAACAAGATTAGTTTGAAATCGTTTGACTGACGGAGGTATTGTGCGTTTAAGTTTGCAGGGAATTTAACTGAGAGAGAATGACTGAAGGGAGGAGGGTGAATATTATGCCAGTGGAGCTTGCGATTCAGAGAGAGCTAACATATCGGAAGAAAGTAGCAAGTTTGCAGTTGCAATCTGATGACTTCTTGAAAGAACTTTTGCCTTTACAGGTGAGTATTTGTCTTGTTTAATGGTGCTACTAGACTTTGGTTTTGTAATCTTCTTGATAACTGCAAATTTGATCCTGTGAGTTCGAATTATCAAGATCATAGAAAAAGAAGTTCTAATCTTCTATCAATCATGGTTTGATATTATATCATCTTTATTTGTCTAATTTCCTATCGAAGATGTTAAATGTCCTGCTGGCTTCTATGACCAACTGATGGTGAAATTTGGAAAACATTTGTCATCTTTTAAGTTTTTTTTTTTGTTCCATTCTAAAGATGGAGGAAGCAGATTCTTGCTAAAGGAAACTCAAAAGTGGTGAGTGTTATTTCCAGAGACTTGGGATAGAATTCATATAGTTGATGCCAAGAAATTAGAACTAAGGCTTTGTTTTTGATGAATTGAGCTTACTTTTAACCTCCTCGTGCATCTAATTACTGAGTTGGCGACTCTACCAAAAGCTGTTGAAGATGTTGACTATCTGAAATGTGAAAGCCGAAGAACGCAGCTGTGGATTGTTCGTAACATGTGAAAAGATCAAATGGTGTCCTAGGCTGTTCTCAATAAGCAAATTAACATCGAATTGAAAATCAGCACTCTGCATTGCTTTACAAAAGCATCAACAGTAGGTTTTGCCCAGTAGTCAAGTAATCTAAATTTCTCCAAAGCTTAACAGTGGCGAATTCTTATGTGTTGATGTTTCATTGAGATACCTTAGAAGCATACCACATACCAGTAGCATAGTTTTGGTTTTCCAATAAGAGTGCATTTGGTATCCAATAAGTGTGCAACAGAAGTTATATTGGTAATGCTAAAGACCAGACATGTGGTTGAGAAGAATGGGTTTCAGGCGATTTTAGTTGTAGCTCTCTTTCCACTTGTCACTTGAGCTTTTGTAGCAACACAGTGAAAGATACTTTTTTGCACTTTTTGTGTTTAACATAAAAATGTTGGGAAAAGGCTTAGTTGAGGTCGGTTGATTTTTTTTTTTGTATTTAACATCATAGTCTTCATCTGACTTTTACACTGTGTCAATGGCATGCATCGGGTGCCCATGACTTTAGAGAAATGAATCATGGATAGTAACCTATATAAAATCCAATTTGCATTGATTCTTTCCTACGCCTGGACGGTTTTATTATCTTGACTTTGTCAATGTCATACCCTTCAATGGGGGACATAAGTGCTCTTGTATGCATGCCGTTTGATTCAAAGCAGTCAGCAGGAAAGTAATGTGATGTGGATTCCAATCCAGTAAAAATGTATGAACACATCAGAACAAACAGCTAAACATGATGATAATCTATAAAAGTTGTGCTTAAGTCAGTGAAAATTGGTCATAATATAAAAGAGTGTTTGGTGTGGATCTGAAAAATTTTAAATTCACGCTTCCATAGATTATAGGAACTTAACTTTCTATAAACAAAATGACAGACATGAGACACTTGAATAGCAGAAATAGATAACGAAAATCTAGCAATCTATTTGTTTCAATACGTGGAACCTATCTGTGTAACACCACAACATGGCCTAGTTCGTGACCAAATGTTTAATACTTGAAAAAACGAAAATAAGCTTGAATTGCAGCAAAATTTGGTAAGAACTATGCAACATAAATTGCTTGAGAGGTTTTTTGTGCAGGATATGTTCTAGTCTCATGAAGTATGTTCCATTTGTTCAGGAATTAAGCACTACAGGCACCATGTTTTCATGATGCTAACTAGCATGTTCTTCATATCAGGTGTTATCTTCAAGTCCATATCAAAGGCTAAATCCATGGTTAGGGCATAATTCAGGCTTGAGTGCAAAACCCAGTCTTGCTCTGGGGTCATCTTTTCAGGGGCAATCTTCAACTCCAAGTCCAAGGTCATTGCCAGCTCCAAGTGAGATTCCAAGTCGAGGACCAGAGCCAAGTGGAATTTCAAGTCCCAGTGTGGTTCCATCGTATCAATTATCATCTTCGATTCCAAATATCAGTCCAAGGCCATTGCAAACGCCAAGTCCAAGATCCCTTCGGGGACCAAGTCAGATTTCAAGTCCAGGGCATGGAGCAACCGTGATTTCAAGTCCAGATGTGGTCCAATCATATCAAGTGTTATCTGCAAATCCAGATCCTAGTTTTAGGTCATTACCAGCACCAAGTCAGATTCCAAGTCCAAGTCCACGGCCAATGCCAAATTTGATTTCTCAACCAACTCACTCAGGCATAAAGAGAAGAGCAACAACTGGCAGCCTCCAGTGCCTTCCACCTGATCAGCAGCCACGAGCATCTCATAATACTTGCATAACTAAAGATCTAGTGGGGAATTTATATTGCAAGGTCTGCCAAGTGCATTGCTCAGGTGCCTTAAATCTCAAGCAGCGCCTAAGAGGTCACAAGCACAAGGCGAAACTGAAACGGCTGCAACTAAGAAGGAATTATGGCAGAGAGAAACAAGACCAGCTACCAAGATGCGAGCTATGTCAAATTTGGTGCATGGATGAAGAAGGGTTGAACATGCACTTAAAGGGTCAGAAGCACAAGGCTAGGCTACATGAGTTGAAGCTGGGCATAGAAAATGGTGGAGAGAAAACCTCACAGCGGCTTTGGTGTGAACTGTGTCAAGTTCCCTGCATGAATCAACACACATTCGAGCAGCATCTGAAGGGGAAACAACATGTAAGTCGCCTGGAGAAAAAGAAGGTCGAGGAGGAAGAAGCTGAACCATTGAAGCTTGACTTTGAAGAAATGGAATGGAAAATTGTCTCGTGAAGTCCAACAAGCTCCTCTTGCTGGCAAGAAAATTGTTGAATCTGGAGAACCTGCTAGCCCTGTGTTTTATTCCTCTTGACATTGTGCTAAGCGCGCACACACACACACACACACACATGCACACAACATCACTTTCAAGCCTACATTTTCATCATGACTAATTTGTATATTTCATATGGATATGCAACTAAATTACAAAATACGCTGTAATATTTTCTAGTCCTATGTTTGAAATGGAAGTTGTAGTGAGGCTCTGGAATCCTAACATAATAGCATTGAGGCTGCAATTCTCCTGAAAACCTCCCTGTCCCATTTTGGCATCCAACTGTTTGGACTGGTTGTGTCGAAAACACATCAGGTGTGCTAAATCTGTTGGTTGGGGGATAAAAGAGAAGCTTTGCTTCAGTTCCGGATGAAGACCTAAGGTAGGCTAACCCCATGACCTGCTCAACAGTAGAGCCAAAAAAGCATGGATTTTACCCAAATATAAAAAAAAAACTCTAAATTTTAGGGTTCAATAATGAAATATAGATCAAAAATTAAAATTCATTATAATTTAACTTATAAAAAAAAATTCTTCAAAGGTTAAGTCAACAAAATAAAATTTAAAATTTAGGTCCAAAAATACAATCCACCTCACACATACACATACACATTTATTAAAGGACAAAAAAATGGTTAACACGTCAATAAAAAAAATATATAATAAGCATCTCTTTTTTCTCTTACAAATAAAAATAAATCAAATACATGTTCTAATTCTCTTAAACACGATTTTGTTCTCATTTAAACACAAAAACATCAACTAATTAAATTGGTCATTCCCATGAAGGATCCATAATAAAAACTACTTAATATCAAAAAAAACTTTCAATATAGTTGTTATCAGAGAAATAAAACATAACAAAATAGTAGGTGAACATTACATTTTTAAACAAGTTAAGGATCATATAAAAAATTAAAAAATAGAATTATGAATACCACAAATTATGAATTATGAATTATCAGTTATCTATAGGAAATTATGAATGCATATTGATAGTAGATCATATAATACCACAAATTTCATGAACATATAAACCAAATATGAAGAACATAAAAATATTAACGAAACAATAAATTGTATTCTGAAAAATGTGAGTCAAGTAAGCGATAAATAATAGGACGACCACTCAAAAGTTTAAAATAGGAACCATGACTGAAGACATTCTTAGTCTTGTCATTGGACTAAGAATGTCTCGTGATATTTAGATGTGCTTAGAAAAAATGTTTGTCCGGACCGAGAACTTCAACAACAATGTCAATTGCAGTTATGTCGCAGAGGGTTCAAAAGAATCAAAACCTCTATCTTTCGCTATAGCCTAATCAGATATAAATAGATGTACAAATCTGTTTGCTAAAAAAATGTATTTAGTTACGATGATTTATATATATTTACAATTCTTATGAATTATACTATTGAACAGTTGTACGCAGGTAGTATGAGTATGAAATAATACATATGTAATGTTCAATATATATAAGATGTCTAAATTACTAAAAACAATTATGTGACACCATGTTATAACATTAAAAATCTTTACTATGGTAGTACCTTGTACGCAAATTATTTTTGACAAATTAAAAAAATACATAAAATATAGAGTAACATATATATGACTTTTAATCATTGCGTGTATCCAAAAGTTAATTTGTCCGCCAAACAAATATTACAAATATTGCAAGATACACAGACATTTCAATCGTTTGTGGGATGAGGCACAACATGACCGACCCTAAGGTCCGACCATTAAAATAGTTGCCTAAAACCCCAAAAATTAAGGCCCTCTTGAATGAACCAAGTTAAAAGCTTAATATATTTCACAAGTTTATCTAAAGCCTTGTGGAAACCCCTAAAATATAACAACTATAATGAAACAATATTTTCACAAATCTATGTAAAGTTTTAGAAAATTTTAAAATATAACAAAATTTTCGAAAAAAATCTAAAAGTAATGACTTCTAACTTTTAAAAAAGAAATTTCTCTTAAATTTTTTTCACTATATTTTCTTTCACTCTCACGCCCTTTCTCCCACTCTTTCTCTTCCTCTCACTCCCATTGTCTTGTTTTCCTTATCTCGACTTCTCTTACTATTTTTTTATGACTTTATTCAATTTATTTATCTGTAAGATTTTGACTTCATAATTGCACCTAATTTTTTTTATCTAATCCCATCTGATCCTAAAACCACTAAAATATTAAAAATAAATTATACTCTAACTCTCTATAAAATTTATAATAATCATTAAAAAAAATTATTATGTTCCTAAAATATTAAATGACGTAAATAACAATAACTTAAACATGAAACCCATGAATTGGTTATGCTGAAAAAGAAGAAAGAACCAAGAAGAGAAAGAGATATCATGGAAGTACATTATGCNAATTATTATGTTCCTAATATATTAAATGACGTAAATAACAATAACTTAAACATGAAACCCATGAATTGGTTATACTGAAAAAGAAGAAAGAACCAAGAAGAGAAAGAGATATCATGGAAGTACATTATGCATGTACACAAAAGTTCAATATGCATTCATAGACATATAAAATTACATAATAACATAAAGGAGTAAGAGAAAAAACATCAAACCCTAAACTGAAAAAGAAGAGAAGGCAATATGCAGATGATTTCATAGACATAACGAAGCCAAGACCGTTATTCATAGCGAGAACTTGTGGTAGTCGGTTGAACAATATCTCTATAGTTGTGATCGATTGATCNAGAATTACATAATAACATAAAGTAGTAAGAGAAAAAACATCAAACCCTAACCTGAAAAAGAAGAGAAGGCAATATGCAGATGATTTCATAGACATAAAGAAGCCAAGACCGTTATTCATAGCGAGAACTTGTGGTAGTCGGTTGAACAATATCTCTATAGTTGTGATCGATTGATCTAGACCATCAAAAGGAAAGGCCAAGTTTTCTGGACTGACGATCAGGAGTCACTTTAGCACCAAGCCCCAATTTGTGTTGGGCCGTCCTTGGCTAACCCCAACTTCTATTGTACAAACTCATTTGTATATAAATCTCATACATGAATGTTTGCTGAAAAGTTCAGAATTGCATTGCTTCATTCTCTGAATTCCTACTTGTATGTGGATTGTGTAAAACATCAGGGCCGATTGCCAACCAGAAATACTTTCTTGGTCTTCAACCGACTTGAGCCTGATGAAAATTGCAGACTTGTTGCCACCAAGAAACCAATAAGGTTCAGATTTTACAAACAAATATTGGTTAATTTTGCTACTCAATCAGCCCTCCAGAATATAGTAGCATCCTTTTCATTTTCCTGATAGGTGATTATGCATTTATGCTAGCTTCTAATATGGTCACTTGGTTGTTGGAGGTGTGTTTTGAACCCCTGACCCATCTCATATGGAGGGTACTAGTTCGTTACGGCATAAATGATGTCTCCATTAACTAACCCTTTTGGAGGGCAAACATCTAAGTTGAGATTTGAGTTCATCTATTTTGTTTGTACTAGTTTTCACCGTTTCTTTTGGTTTGAGGGAGTAGCAGCTAGATTTTGCAAGCACAATTTACATCCTGGCCATAATCATCATCAGCAACAACAGAGTTGTTTGTGGAAGCAAAACAAAGATGTAAAAAACTGAAAATTAAGCAATTTTGGAATTTACACAAAGTGTTGTACTGAGGGAGAAGCTAATTTTGGAATGTTACCTCATGAAGAATATAGTTTATCGTATGCAATTGCAGAATGGTGTTGATGATAAGTGAGGGAATGATGGCATGCATAAAATGTAGTAGGAGTGGTGTCAATAAATTGTGTCATATTATGTTTAAGCTGTCTTATTTCGGGTTTGTGTCATTCATTTTCATGTCGTGTTTGTATCCATTTCATGTAATCCTTTGAAAAAAAACAACAGCACTAGGTTCCTTGTTCCCTTTAATCAAATCCAATACACTGACTATTCCCCTTCCACAATCTAGCAAAACAAAATAAAAAATAACTTTAATCCTTTACTAATTCATTNAATATTCCCCAGCCATTGAAAATTAACTCGTTCCACAATCTAGCAAAACAAAATAAAAAATAACTTTAATCCTTTACTAATTCATTCAGTACTAGATTGAAAAATAAAAACTCAAATAATTTTAACCATTCCAAGTAAATGATTTCATCATGTCAAAAGTAAATTTCGTATNTTCAGTACTAGATTGAAAAATAAAAACTCAAATAATTTTAACCATTCCAAGTAAATGATTTCATCATGTCAAAAGTAAATTTCGTATTTTACACTAATCTAACTCAATTATTATTCAATATGACACATTCGAGTTCGTGTTACAACTCAACAAGTTTTATTGCTGCATAAGCAACAATGCTAGGGAAAAAAACAAAAACAACTATGAATCGTAGACTCTATTATGTAGTAGTAATCTAGTAGGAAAATGAAAGAGAGCATAGGGGTGGCAAAGATAAGGATGATAGCATTAAGTTATGCCATGGTGCAAACCAACATGTCATGAATGGCCCCAGACAAAGGGTTCAACTTTTAACTCCTGTGGATTTTGTTGGCTTTAAACGCCGACAATTGTCCAGATCAGAGCCGCAACACTAGGGATTTACATTGCATAGTATAGGCAATCATACTTGTTTGTCTGCAGTATCTTGCGCTCCATCACCAAAGAAGATACACATACTTTTTGGTGATGTTCTCCGAGCAGTAATTTTTCAATTTAACCACTCCACAAGTTGGGGATGAGTAAGGAAACCTACTTGTTCAATAGTTCAGAATCGGTTCGGATAAAAGTTTTTACAAGTTCATTTATTCATCAAACAAATTGAACTCGAGCTCAATTCTGAAGCTCCTTTAGTAACGAGTCGAACTCTAGGAAAGGTTTTGTTCGAATGATTAGGTTGGTGAATATAATCCCGTCGTTAGGATAGTGAATACGTATAAATATATATTTATACTATATATATAACGCAATCAATTTTTTTGGGGAGAGGACTTAAGAAACATTCCCTCGTACTTTTATAATTTTTAAGAATATTGAATTATTAAATTTCTCACCCCCAATCATATATTTATATATGTTTGTATATATGTGTGTAATGAGTTACTAATTTGGTAGAACTATCCGATAGTATGTGTATATGTATGAGTGAGCCATGCTTAATCTAAAAAGTAAANTAATGAGTTACTAATTTGGTAGAACTATCCGATAGTATGTGTATATGTATGAGTGAGCCATGCTTAATCTAAAAAGTAAAGTTCAACTTGAATTTATGTCAACCCACATTGGTGTGTATTGAATCCCATCGGAAGTTTACATAGCTGATGTTGGATATATACGTAGAAATAATGACCCTAAATGACAACTTCTTAATTAGATCTTTTGAGAAAATTTCTATTGTTATTATATATGGTATTACAGCGACCCGTGCACATGACCGTGCAGATTTGGCGACACTACAATGCGGAGTTAGTTTTGAATAGGGCTAACCACTTGCCCATATTTGTCATTGATTGTGGGCCTATTGCGAAAACGCGAGAAAATAAAGGAGGGAAGATTGTGACGACTCACATTGGCATTTATTGAATCTCACATTTGAAATTTACCCCACAAATCTTGAGTATATATGTAGAAATAATGACCCTAAATGATAACTTTTTGACTATCTATTTTTGAGAAGTTATTACCGTTTAAACTCTTTTCTATGCTTCAGTCACATTGTTTAATGAGACAAAACTAGTTAAGGCTAATAAATTCTAAATTTGAAAAAATAAATTAACGAGTTGGATTTGAACAAACTATTCGAATCCTGTCATGACCCGGACACTTCTCAAACAAACAAGCCACATTGAAATAGTTTGATGCTTGACTCGGTTCGATTCATTTGTATGCATAGTGATAAGATCAAACTACCCTGAACAAAAGAAAATGATTATATAGAGGAAATTTGGGTGAGAGCCCAATGCCAAGCATGCGGTGTAGTGTAGCAGACAAATTGCAGCCTGTATTCCTAGTAAATAATATGCAGGTGGGAGTTAGTGATATCAAGTCATGGATGCAAATATGGAAACATCTTTGCCATACTTCACGTGAATACTGTTGTGAAAAAACATTCAAGGCCCCTCCATTAACTCCACAGTGCAATTTTAATAAGCAGAACTTTCTCTCTCTCTCTCTCTCACACACACACACACATTTGGCTTTAAATAGGAGTTGCATGATCAGAGTGAAACACATAACTAAGAGAAGATATGGGGGATTCCCATAAGAGTCCCAAAGAAGCTAAGGATGTTTCACTTGAAGAACTTAAAGACAGGCTTGCACAGTTTGCCAGAGTGAGGGGTTGGGAACAATATCACAGCCCCAGAAACCTCCTTTTAGCTCTGGTAAGTCCTAAAAGCTTGTTCACTTCTTTTTTCAATAGTTCAATTGATTTTTTTTAGAAAACCATCGAAATTACAATGAAGTTCAAGGCATGTCTCAATGGATTCACAGGGCCATATATCAAAGAACTGCTCGATCTCATCAAGTCTATTAAAAATGATTTATCATCAGATTGTGTTGGTTGTTTTTCTGATAATAGTATCAAACCTACTCGCCACCACTTTAGCAATCAAAAGACTTCCATGTGTTTGATTCAAAATATAACCGGCGCGCCTTAAGTACTCAAGTTATACCCTTTATAACAACTTTAGTTTTGGAACAGTTCGTGGCTTCACAAAAATACAGAAAACTCTCACAACCCGAGAAACTGGTACACAAAATACAATAAACCCCTCACAACAAACTGAATAATATATTCAGAATACCTTTCTTTGTTTCAGGAAAATAGATTGAAAACATTGTTTTGTGCAGGTTGGAGAGGTGGGAGAGCTGTCTGAGATATTCCAGTGGAAGGGAGAAGTTGAAAGAGGACTTCCCAACTGGACTCCTGATGACAAGGAACATCTGGAGGAGGAGCTTTCTGATGTTCTACTTTATCTGGTTCAGCTAGCTGATGTTTGTGGGCTTGACTTGGGGCAAGCAGCACTCGCAAAGATACTCAAGAATGCTCAAAAGTACCCAGCTCTTAATCCATCAACTATTTCCACTTATAAGTAGGAACTTCATCACCTCGTTCTATAATACTAACAACGTTGTGGGTTCGAACATGAGGACAATCACTTTGTTGGATTGATATTGAATACTAGATCTATACCGGATGTATCCCCTTTATATCTCTTACTGAGGATTAAACTGAGTGTTACCGTTTTAAAATAGGAACTTTGTTGCACGTCTATTTATGAAGTGACTCTTGTTGAGGCATATTAATATGTATGCATGAGGCATATAGAAAGCAAGTCTTGGAGACTATGATCTCCTTTGTTTTCTCTAGAGATGTTTCTGTTGATTGCGGTGTGCTAAATATTATAAAATCACTTATTAAAATTTTTAACTTGAACCATGCACAGTATAATAAAATAATTATAGTAAAAAATTACACAGAAACTAAAGAGTTACAATAGGGTAATGAAACAACAACAACAAATAGTTACACGTAATTGTTTGCCAACAAATAATAAATATTAATCCGATTACAGAATAGGAACTGTAATTGAACTTTAGATAAATCAAGACTAGTATTTGACATTATGTCTTTAAGACAGATTTCGCCCCCACATACGGTGCTTATGGAAACCGAGCGTCTGTCTCTCAGGATACAATGATCTTTACACGAACAAAAGTATCACTCTAATCTACTCACCCAACGAACCAAAATCATGTAGTGTACTCTCTAAATGGACTGTCTTAATGCCGAAAATGATATGTTCTAATGTCTGCTTAATGTCGGAAACAGACTGAATGAATTGAATTATTTTCTGAATGTATGCATGAACTAAGTATTTATAAACACCTTGGTGACTTTTCGGACAGTCACCAAACTAAAAGACGCAACTCAGAATAATAAGACACAACAGTCAGTAGACATCTTGGGTAACTGTTCTCCATGAATAATTTAATTTGGTCTGGAGGGAGGCAACAAATCCGACCCAATGCGATCCAATGGGTACCGAAATTAAATTTTGGGTTAAGAAATTCTCACCCAATTAATTAAATAAATTTTCTCCAAAAAAGATAAAACTGTGATACCCCTTAGAGCCCAATCTCATAGAGCAAACTTGACCTGTATATGCTCATGTTGAATTTCTTCCTCAACNCTCCTTAGAGCCCAATTTCATAGAGCAAACTTGACCTGTATATGCTCATGTTGAATTTCTTCCTCAACCAATGTGGGATTGATGTCACATCCCACATTGCACTTCTTTTATTTTCACATTTCAAAAGGATCACTTTGGAGCCTATTTTCTCATTCATTTTTTACTCGATTTGAGCAAGTGAACGGGGTAGAATATGAACCCGTGAATTTTATTCTAAATAATAATCGGGTCCCACTTTAATTTTGACTCAAAATCGATCAAAAACTCAATTTTTACACTTAAAAAACTGTTTTGGTCCAACAGCTTCTTCCATCAATTTTTTTTTTTGGCCTCTGTTCCAATTGTTGAGCTTCGACTATAAAGAAATGAGTAATTTGCATAGCCTTACATCCATGCTTGAAAAATATTCAAGATGACTTAGTAGTCTTAATCTTATAGAATTGGAGAATGGCAAGTTTATGTAAAATACGTGGTGGAACTTCACAATCCAAATTGGTGAGTGTTGTGTGTGTGTGAAACGTTTTTCATGTACAAGTTTTGAACTTTCATCATATACATACGTTTTGATGTCATCTGGGCCGACCTACAATGAACAACATCGTACAGGAAAAAAACTGTTTATCTTTTTTTCTCGTAGTATAAAAGTCACGTAGGTTGTGCACCTCTTGTGCAACCAATCTGTTGTGACTTGTGTGTGTGAGATGAACAATTAAAAAAAAATTAATTAAAAGAAAGGATATAAGATTTTACGTGGTTCGATAATTTATTTACGTCCACGATTGATAGCGGTTGCCTTATTTTTTTTGAGTAATGCTATTAAAACCTATATTGATCTAATTTGTTGACTTAATTTACTATGACTTTTAGATTGACTGTGAGGTTCATCAAACATTAAAACTTGATATCGATACAATGATTCTACTGAAGCCACATTGTTATGTCAATAAATTTTTATTCCTCCATAAAAGTAAAATTACAACTTAACTTATATTAGGGGTGCAAATCGGGTGGATTGGGCGGGTTGGATAATCAACTTTAACCCAACCCTACGTATATAATCTTCAACCTTAATCCTAACTCTAACCCTACTTCAGGTTGGGGAACTCAACCCAAGTTTAATTTGGGCAGGCTTGGGTTGAATTCGGGTTGATGATTTTTGGGTTATTTTGCGAGTTCAATTCGGGTAAATCCCAAAATAGACTTGTTGTTCTAAACATAATACATATATTACATAATATTCACCTAAATTAACAACCAATAACTTCAACCAAGTTTTTAACGAGAAAGACTGAGAGAACGAGAGAAATAGAGAACGATAGAACAAAAATGAAAAATCAGTGCTATATATATATATATATATATATATATATATATATATATAGCCTAA